AGCTCCGCGAAAGCATTTCTTCGCGGAAGGGCTTGCGGAAGCTCAAGTTTTCAGAAACTCTGGCTCTCAACATGCAAGTCAAACGAGCTATGTGTCTGCCCAACCATAAGTCCTAGAGTTAAGTCCTGTGGCTAAACCGCACCCTTGAAGCCCTGAACCTCTTGGGACCGTTCATACAAGTTATCCGAAAATTGGAAGCTCCGCAGAAGGTCCGCGGAAGGTCCGTGGAAGCCCGACATGCAGCACTGGATACAAACCCATGCCGTTGCTTCCGAAATATCCTTTGTTCAGTCCTATGGGAAAACCCCAATGAGTTGCTGTTAGTGTGGCCGCATGTAGCTGCCAAATCGCAACTTCACCCCTATGGAAACAACTTTACGCAAACGTTACAGCGTTTCTGAAAACATGTCATCCTGCAGCTGCAATTCTTTGTACGCGTACTCCCAATATCATATGATCCTACCGAGAAGGGAGTACTCTTCGAAGACCTTTCGCGGAAGCAAAAAAGGCTACAAGCGCTACTCGCGGAAGGCCTTCGCAGAAGGCGTAGTTTCTGTAATAGAATTTAAGTACCACCGCTCACATGTCACAGCAAGGCAGCGAAAGTATAACTTATCCTGAGACCCAGACCCCATACTGAGCAATCATCGCTATTAACCCCTGTCTCATTATTGGTAACAATATCCCCATGCAGTTGGGTTGCTTCAAGAGGCCGCCCTGGCGATGGCTGCTCGTCGTCTTGCAAAAAAGGGAGGCAGCTTACATAATCATGCCGGCGTTGACATGACTGCGTTGAGCCGCATTGACTATTTCCTTTTCTAGCCGTGTTTGTCAAATCATCATGTATAGACATATCGACATATCAGAGGCGGCAGCTGCGTAGGCGTAGGGGTGAAGAGATACCGCTGAGGGAGTCCATTAGTTATTATAAGGCGCTGAGTCGGCAAAAGTGTGAGGTCATGGCAACGAGAGGTTAGAGCAATAGTCCGCAGAGCTGCACTTCTGTGTTCAAACCAAGAGTCAAATGCTAGAGAGGTTTGCTTGCCGTCCTGATGAATCTGAACCATCGCCTGGGCCCCTTTTTGCCAGGAGCTTCTCCACAAAGCTACTGGATTGCTGCAACTGCGCAGCCAACGACGCTGCTGCAGCGCTTTGCTTTACGAGTGTGCCTGGAAGCATCTCATGCGGACAACCATTCAAATCTAAGCCAGAACAGAGCAAGACGAGATGGATGCTGATAATCCAGGCCATTTCCTATATTTACCACAGAGGGTCCCTGCTCGGTATGACAGGCAGGCCGTTGCCTTTTTGGTATTTGCAGTTTTTTGCCTCATGGGAGTGGCCAGGCACCACATGGTAGCTCTCACGCGCCTGCATGAGTCCTACTGTCGCTCCTTGTCGCTGCATGTCAGGTTCAGATTTCACACAGCGCGCCTGGGATTCAAGCCCAAGACCTTGAAGCGCCTTGAAGGCGAACAGCCTTTCTCACAGAGTTGGGGTATGATGGCCATTGACTAGATGTCTTTTCGGCGATGTTCAGACTTCTTGTTTGGGGAGCATTTTCGCAAAAGATGCTGATGATTGTGAAGCTGTGCTTGGAACACTTCTACACCAAAAACCATCTTACGCCATCAATGCCACCGCAGTACATAGGGAGTCTGACCGCAGCAACTACAGACGTACCGAACTGCAAACCAGTGCGGAAGAATGCAAGAACGCTCCCAGCGGCGACTTCACACAGTAGTGGGAATCGCCAGAGGTATCAAGCCACGAAACGCTAGCTTCTAGTAGTGACACGTAGTGCCAATACTTGGGAGAAAAACAACGCTGGTGAAATTGGAAATAGATCGCGATTCAGTCAAAAACCGTTGCGTCCCCACACCTGAATTTGTAAATTCCAAGCCCTGGATAAAAGACTCTAGACCTAAACCATACGACCCCAAACCCAAAAACACGCAAATCGCACGACCCTCAACCATGGTTTTCGCGAGGCCGCGCTGGGGCAGAGTGACCTGGCATAGCAAGGTCCAAGGTTTTACACCATCTGGAGGGGCCTCGAAAAGCATGGGGCTCTGTTTGAGGGTCCCTGCAAAATGGGTTTTATTCCTTTCGAGTATACACAGCGGGGGTCCTGTTTTGAGAAGCGCTCCTATGAAAGTGATCATCGTGATTGTTGCTCATGGCTGGCCAGTGCTGCATCTGGTGCTGCTGGTTGGTGGTAGTTGTGGCTCCCCCTTATCATGATCTCCTGGGGGTTGCCAGTGGTGTGCTCCTTTGCAGCACCCCAGGTTCTGGGTGCAGCGACGAAGTGCGGACGTGAAGAAGGCTTTGTGGCCTACGTGTACAACTGAGCAGAGCGCCTTGCAGTCTCCTACCTCCACCTGCAACTATTGCTGGTGGCCAGGCGCGTCGTGGGATGAACTGGCACTTTGACAAGGCCTTTGCCCAAATCCTCTCCGCCTTCTCCGATTTATACCGGCTTGTTCCTTTCATAGCCCGATTTTAGACCCTGAGATGAGAGGACCGTGTTCTGGCAACGCCCCAATTTTGCGGACATCCGCAGCCTTCTGTTGCAAAGTTTGCAAAGTTTCGCAGGATGAAGATCTGCTGGACGATGTTGGCCTCTGTGTGCATCCCTGTGTTGCGACGGCTACGTACCTCACTGACAGAGGTCAGGTTGAAGGGACTGCCCGGCTAGAAGGCTTAGGGTCTTGCCAAGATTCCTCGAGCACGTTGTAGATGGCATGCTTTATGCATGCCTCAATAGAAACAATGAGATGAAAAGATGCAGTTCCTGCGCGGGATGTCAGTTGAAACACTCATGTAAGACGGACCACTGCAATTCCCTCGTCCTCCGGTTGTATTTCTAGAACCTCTGAGGATGCTTCCTGTTTCGAGAAGCCTCCCAACCCAAAACCCCACACCTGCACATCCCTGTACAGTGAACCCCTAAGGGGTTGACATACTTCATACATCCGTATGTACCCCTGAACCTGCATCTCACTGTCTTCTGTGTCCCTGAGGTGCGCCTCTGGTGGTCCTGTCAGCGCCAAAGCTGCCCCGCGGGCAGGACAGGCGATCTGGTAATGAGGTTGGAATGGTTGGAAATCATGGTCATAGAAGGTGGAGGTGGTGGTGGAGGAGGAGGAGGAGGTGGCGGCGGCGGTGGTGGTGGCGGCGGTGGTGGCGGTGGTGGCGGTGGCCGCGGCAGCGGCGGCGGCGGCGGCGGTGGTCGCAGTAGTAGTCGTAGCAGTGGTGGTGATCGCAGTAGTAGTCGTAGTCGTAGCAGTGGTAGTGGTAGTAGTAGTAGTAGTAGTAGCAGCAGCAGCAGCAGTAGTAGCAGTAGTAATGGTAGTACTAGTACTAGTACTAGTACTACTATAGTACTAGTAGTAGGAGTAGTAGCAACAGTACCAGTAGTAGAACCAGCAATAGCAGTTGTACTAGTGGTAGTTATTGTCGCCATCGTAGTCTTAGCAGCAGTGGTCATGGTCTCGGGTCGCGGCGCAACGCAGCGTAGGAGCGCTGGAAGTAGCAGTCGCAGTGCTAGCAGCAGCGGAGGAAAGTAGTAGTCGTTGTTGCAACAGTTGCAGTAGAGGAGGAGGAGGAGGAGTAGGAGTAGCAGTAGTAGTAGTAGTCGTAGAAGTAGAAGTAGAAGTAGAGTAGTGGGTGGTAACATAAATCGAGCAGCAATCGTGGACTCCCTGCTTCGCTGACCGACCATCAGCCAAAGGATGGCGCACCCGATGCAGACGCTCAACCCGCAAGGCTGGGTCAGAATGCATGCTAAGAAAGGGAAGGGGTTGCACTAGCTTAATTAGGTAGTGTAAGATTTCTTGCACACTTCCCGTTCCCTGTGGGGATCTATCATGAGCTGGCGCCGAAGCTTCTGTACGATGAGGAGGGGGCTTGCATGCCGAAACTCGAAACCGTGTTCTGGCAGTCCCCCGCATAATGCGGCAGCCTACGTGGCATTCCCTGCTCGGGGGCTACACGTTGCCTTCGGAACTTGACAGCAGCAAGCTAGAGAATGTCCATGCGGCTACTCAAGGAAGTTTGAAGGAACATCCAGGAACCTTGTGGGGGGTTCATGGGAACTTCTCGGGACTAGGGGCTTCTCAACGCCGAGATGATGTATTGTAGCTGCGTCGTGCCTGTAATGAGGGCCCCGCACAGGGACAGAGAATCTTGACAACTCCCGGCATCTGGCCTAAGGAGGTGACCTGCTGCACGGCGTGCCTGCAGAGTTGGAATGCAAAGGGGGCGAGCGATTGGCCCTCTTGGTCAACGCAGCGCACCCAGAAGACAACACGACAACATGTCAGCAATGCAGCAATTCACGTTTGTCTACTCCTCGTAGGGTTCTTGAAGTCCATGCAGCTGCCTGGCCTGCAGAAATCCTGGCGGACAGGTTTGGCTACACCACCGGCCGGCTGGCCTTCAAAGCTGCGGCAAAGTCTGCAGCCGTGCCTGGAGAGGCAGAAATTCGGACTGTGCGGGCTAGACGGCAAGTATCAACCATATGGCTGTCTCAGCACTTGCTATCCTGACTGGAGGCTCGACGAAGCCTGGCTCAGCGTTGCGTTCCTTGGCGTCAGTTGGAATAGAAGAACTCATCAGGCTTTATGGCTTGAGGTCGCGTGCGGACTAGATGTTAGAGCGAAACGTCAGTGGTCTTGTGCAACTGCTATCCTTCTAGAACGCAGCAGAAAGAGAGGCTTGCGAGGTTTGGGTCGGCTGCACACAACAGTTGAGAAATGTGCTAGATTCTCATATCCAGTGGATGACGGCTTGGCTTGCAACGCAGCATGGGATGGCTGCGCAAAATAAGTGCGTGCTTGCGCGCGTCAGGTTTGAACTTGGTGATTTTGAAAGCTGCACTTGATACTCAGTGCCTAATGTCGGCCTTCATCACTAGCTGCCATCGCAGCTATCTCTCGATAATGCTTGCAACAGCTTGCAGCTAATTAGCAATTTAGTTCCTGTCACCACGCCTGTTGCCTCCATTTCGAAAATGTCTTCTGCAGCAAGATGCATCAGCCTCAATAGCAAGCTCTGCTCAGCTCTAACTCAAGTCTCCTCCCGAGTCCTGCTGCCACTTTTGCGACTACTGCCGGTGCTTTTGCGCCCCTGTGATTCCTGTTCATCTTAATGGCTGTTGCTACACTGTACTCCTGCCCTTTCTCCTAGCTCCTAAACCCAGCTAAATCCCTAAGCCCCCAACTCCCTCATCCGAGCTTGATAGCCTACGCAGGAAACAGCCCTAAACACCCCCATCCGAATTAGGGATTTAGGGATCAGGGTTTAGGGATTAGGGTTTAGGGATTAGGGTTTAGGGATTTAGGGATTTAGGGTTTAGGGATGTAGGGTTTAGGGATTAAGGTTTAGGGATTCTACTCCAAGGAGTCGGCCTCTTCCGGAGACGCTTTCGAGAAGATGGGGCCGTCGCTATCGAGCCTGGCCTGGCAGACTGGCTTCCCGGTTGTGTTATTAGGGTTTAGGGTTTAGGGTCCATTATAATGTAATGTAGCATACTAAGATATACTATCATATATTGTAATATTATAACATACCATAATGCACCAGAATGCACCTAAATGTAACATATAACGTTTGAATGAGGGTGCCATCGCCCAAGCACCATGAATGGTGGGGTAATTCAGGGAGGGTGCCGTTTTACGGGCTTCGGGGTTTAGGGGCTTCAGTTAACCTTGGGGTGCAGAGTTTGGAGCTTTTGATTTAGGTATATAGGCTTCAAGGTCTAGAGCGTCCCTGTTTTGGGGCGCCTGCTCTGTAGGATGCGATAGACTTAGAGTGAACTTGGAGTATATGCAGTACACGGATCCTCCAATATCCTCCAATATTCAGCGCACATGGGTAATCATGATCAGAAGAAAAAGATGGCTTGCCACACGCATAGTGATGATAATGGCAGCAGAGTCAGGAATGGTGAAGCTGGTGGTGAGATAGCTGCAGGAGTAGCAGTAGCACTCGCAGAATTAGTTGTGGAGAACACGAACAGCATGAACGCTGCTTCAGAACTGTCAGCGGCATCTGAGCCCAAATGGCAACAGCAGGTAAGCCAGGAAATGCTAACGTGATGCATGCAATAGTGATGTTTCAGAAGAATCGGAGGCAAATCAACGGGGTGCAGAGCCTTCGATGCACTTCAGTTTGGCTTGATGTGTGCAAGAGGCCGAGCTACCCAAATCGCTGAGAAGGTCATGCGCAGCCAAAGACAGAATTTTTAGCGTACTGCTGCGGGACTTGCCTGCGCCCAATCTGTCGGAAACATTGACATTGTTGTTACAGTATTAGCTTTCATTTCCATGAATGGCTACTTTTGCTTTGACTTTTATGTGCCCAGATTAGAGAGCTAAGCAGAGTTAGTTCACTGAGCCTGCATGCCTTGCAGGATTCCACGAGACTTGCAGCAGGGCGTGTGGCGGGTTCAGCAAAGACATCTGAAAGTTGTTCCGCGCAAGAGAAAGAATTGCAAATGACCAGGCATTCACCATCCAATTTTCGCGCTAGTAAGGCTTTGCAACTGCACCATGGCGTTGGCAAAATGGCCAGCTCCAATTGTTTCCAGTGATCCGAGCGAAAAAAGAAGAGACTGGCTGTGACATGCCGTGTGCTGCAGGCAGCAGGTTCATGCTGTCAAGAGCGCAGATGATCTTTCTGACGCCAAGGCTGTGCTCGTGTTTCGGATGAGGCGCGATGGCGCGGATTTCCTGACAGATTGCCGGAGCTACATACTGCGTACTTCAGCGTACTATTACGTACTTTGTACCGCCGCCGCCACCACCACCAAGACCACGACGATTGGGCCACCGCGACCACCACGACCACCGTGACCACCACAACCGCCACAAGTACAACGACCACGATGACCACGACCACCACGACCACGACGACTACCATCATGACCACCACCACCACAGGACAACAACGACCAAGACCACGACCACCGCAACCACCACCACCACAAGGACGAGGACGACGACAACAACAACAACTACTACCACTACTACTACCACTGCCACGACTACTGCTCTGTTACTATGGCCACCGTCGCTGCGGCGACCACTACCACTAGCACCACTGCCACCAGTGGTGGTGGTAGTGGTAGGCCATTTATGGAGGCGGGTGCCGCTGCGCTGGTGCTGCCGGACCTGTACCACGTAATAGGAGGAGTAGCAGTATCGTTTCGCTTCCCATTATCTGCCCATGTTTTTTTACAAGTCTCACTGTGCAGGGCATTTTTCTTGATAATGACAATGCTGCACATTTTGCCACAACAGCAACAGCTACAACAAGTATTCTTACTACATCCTGCTACCATTAACTACTGCCATTGCTACTGCTTTAGATACTCAGATACTGAATCCTGCATGACCTTAATATGCTACAGTACTTTGTAGGGTCATGCAGGATTTTCAGTAGCAGCCATACCACTGCTACTGCCAAAGCTAGAGGTAGTACAGTCAGCACTTGTACCTCGTACTACTACTACTACTACTATTACTATTACTATTACTATTACTGCTACAAGTATTACTACCACGGTGAGTGCTAGTTCGACGGTTCTGCTGCTACTATTAGCAGTGCTACGCCGACTGCAACAGCAGCCACTACTGCGACTGGTGCTGCTCTTGTCAGTCTGACACTTGTTGCCGCGGCCAGTAATGCTATTTACACGCTGTGGTGCGCATGCAAGGCATGGTGCAGACTGCTTCGACCTTTGGCTGCTTGGCTGAGCGTGTCAGTTTGCAAATAAAAGTCATGTCTGCATCCACCTGAACATGGGAAGCTTACGCCATAAGCACCAGAAAGACATGGGTAGCTTCCAACATGAGACGGCAATTGGGTGCCCCAGAGAGACATGGGCATTTGGCAGAATCAGGATACCGTTTTGTGTCCCAGTATATTATTCCCTTGTTTGGAGACTTACCCCCATTGGCTGTGCTGCTGTGGGATTCAGGGGCGGCTTGCTTTGAATGATCATGGCCGTAGAAGTGCATAGCATCCATCGTCTTAATGCATTTGTCTATGGAGCTTCGTAGAAATCATTTACTAAGCTTGGACATGCTTAACGTGATTGTAGCCAAACTCATGATGCATATCGCCGCAGTAGGGGACCTCGCCTTCTAGGAATCATAACTGTTGTGTAGAACGTTTTCGGTATTTGGAATGGCGGGGGCATGAAAAGTCAGTGTACACGTGTAACAGCTTAACACGAAAGCTGTGAAGAAGCTTCTATTGTGATAGTGTGAATATTGAGCGTCAGCATTGGTGCCATTGCTTGTGTTGGCAGTCGCAACAGCCTTTTCGCTAGCAGAGCTGCCGCCGCCGCCGCCACCGCCGCCACCGCCACCACCACCACCACCACCACCACCACCACCACTACCACCACCACCACCACCACCACCTTTTCTGCAAGATTCCTTATTCGAGCTACAGCTAACGGCAACTACCTTGTTCACAACATCAGAGCAACTCTAATACTGGCCATGCCTGTTCAGAGCAACAGGGCCTAACTGTGACTACCTTCAATACCACTATCACCATCTTGACCATAAAAGCCTTTCATTGCTAGTGCAGATCAAGTGCAGACCAAATGCCCTTTGCGACTGACACAAGTTACTGCTACTGCGAAGTTTCTGTTGAGGTTCGTGATCCTTGCCTCGGTCTTCAGTCGGGTTTTTACTCGCGACGCTGGGCGCTTGAGATTCCATTCGTTTCCCTTGTTCTCCAGTATTGGCAAGAGAGTACAAGCATCCTGCAATGTCCAAGTCAAGTTTCAGCAGGTTCTCTAGTGTGCATGCTGTCTTAGGGCACCAATAAACGTACCGCACTCAGAAATGGGAGTATGAAAACAGGACCTTGAGTTGAAATATGTTGAAATCTACTCATGCTGCCGTGCTGGGAACAGACATGTTCATGCCATGCTGGTAGCGAAAGTCCAAAGAGTCTGCAGGGAGAAGGCCGTGTAGTCTGCAAAGAGGCAGAGACTCGAATGCTTTGGCGCGACTTCCAAGGTCGACGTTGCCTCTCACCTTGGTGGCTGTGTTGCTGGAGGTCTTGTCAGTTGCTTGGCCGCTGAGACGAAGATTTGCAGGGTGGTTAGGGCTGCGCGGTGCGGCGGTGGCGGTAGGAGTACAATATTACTACCGTGAAGACAACAGGTTTTGTTGTTCTACTACCGCTGCTGAGGAGTGCTGCGTAAGATTGCTTACTGCACTCGACCAGCAGCTGCCACATGTCTGGTAGCCTGGTCATCACGACAAGCGATTGATGCTTTGTGTCAGGCCATACGATCCATACAGTGCCTAAAGTCGGTAGCAATATACCCGGCTCTTCTCGTGTCACTATTGCCTTCTGTTTTTTTAAGGATTAGAGTCGATGATTGCTCTTCAGTTGAGAACTTCAGCAATCAGAGACAAGACCAGAAAGCCGGAGCCTTTCAACCAATTGCTGGGACTCTCTGCGTCACATTGGAGAATTGAACGCTTTCAATGCCATATTGCTGAAAAGCCTGCACTACTACCCTGACGGTAGTGCAGGTGTGCAGTGCTTCGGTGGTATTTAGGTTTAAGCGAAGAGCATTGCTTTGAAAGCTCAATGTCGCCGGTCAGTGTTGCCTTTTTCCTTCCACTCTCCTCTAGCCAATGGATGACAAAAATCCTCACCAAATGGCTTTACAAGAACTCCAATAGTGACTTCGGAAAACATAATTGTCCCCTTGTCTACTGGTCCTACTTAATGTAACAGAACAGACTTGACCCTGGCCAGGTTACTTGTGGGGACCACGCCTCGTGTGGCCGAGTCGCTCAGACCTTTTCTCCTCGCCTTCACAGGATGCTGCTCCCCCCTCCCGCAACACCAACTCCCCATCTGCACTTCCAGCCCTTGCCGAAACAAGGTCAGTACTTACATGGCCTTTCTATAGATTCATGGCTGCCCAAGTCCTACGTCGCAAGGTCGTATGGTGGCTTCATAGTGAGAAGTGCGCCCATCATCACGTGGCCATTCACCTGAGATCGAAAAAGGAATGTCACACAGATTGGGCCGTGACTATTCAAGCCTCAAGGGTCCTCCTTGTTGTCTGAGGACTTCAACAGCTGCGCTGGATAATCTGTGGTGAGTGTTCCCATCGTGTCAGTAAGTTGAGCTGCATGTGAGAGAGCCATGCTGCTGCATTGCAAGAGGCAGGTCGGATTGGGCATTGCACATGGATGCAGCCGAATCAGATGTTGAATTGCTGGAGATGGTTTTTGGAAATCTATACAAGTCATTGGTGGTGAAGGGATGTATAACAGGCTTGCGCGAGCACAGCACGAGACGCAAAAGCATGGACAACCGAAACCCTAAGTAAAATTCGGAGTTTCCAATTTCCTTTTCCATGACCCTTATATGGCAGATTTAACTATAACCCTCACATACAATCCTATAGCATCCTTTTGTAGCTTCACGCCCTGAGTCCTCCAGACACCATGACGGCCAGAGATGAAGGACACTTTACAGCAAGAAGGCCATGGTTTGCTCAAGCATGCCATGCTCCTCTCGAGTTTCTATGAGCTACGGACTAAAGTTAGGTTTGGGAGGGACCTATAGGAAGATGCATAGGGGGTTTAGGGGGGCACCTTTTAAGGAATATACTACAACTTCAGTCCAGGGCCCTATAGGGACTATATAGGGACACTGTACCGACGAGATATTGTACAGGGCAATATAAAGGTTATATAGGGGCAATATAGCGGCACTATATGAACTGAGGAAAACATAGCAATAAAGGAAAAGAAAATGGGCACCTCTATTATTTTTAGCACCGTGCGGCCAGGGTTGTGCCAATTCTTGGATGAGGACGGATCATGCCGTTTCAGACAACATTGACAAGTGCAGCACCAATAAGACCTGTGCAAACCCTGAATCCTTGGAGCAGAGTGTCTGTCTAAGTGGATTCTTCAGCTAGCCACATCCTACTTGTTCTGGGTGGGGCTCAGGCGCTGACATTACTTCAGAATACATGCGGGGAGCCAGATTTCTTTTGAGAAGCCCAGACGCCTAACAATGTCTTGAAGTAGATGCAACTTCATAAACAAACAAATCAAGATTATGATGTGACATCAGTTAAGCACTTGTGCTTTCCAGATCCTGGTTCTCCCAAACCCTTTGAAAACTAGAAACCTGACCTAGATCCAGAAGCTTCCGTGCAGGCCTTGGCCGACAGCTCGTTGCACAACTTCGTGCTCTGGGTCCTTCAGGGGCGCAACGGGCGCGTGGAGTTAGGGCCCCGGCTCTGAGGTCCTAGTGACCTCAGTGAGAGTGAATATGGGCACTGTAATTGGGGGAAGAAGGGAATATAGGGATTGTAGAGGGACATTGTTAGGGTTGTGGCTGCATGTTTTGACTCAGCTGCAGAATGATTCTGAGCAGGGACGAGTTTACATGTTGCGTATGCCTCATATCCCCCAATCTAGAATCAAAGGCTTTTTGGACC